CTCTACCCTATAGGGGGCACGTCCCTGCCCGAGGGTATGATCTTGGGCTTACATGCTCCATCGACCATTAGAGAGGATTGCCAAGACGACCACAATACTCTACTGACCCACTTGCGAGTTGGCTTCGTCCTCGATTCACGGATCCTGGGTTCGATTTCCGGGCGGGATGGAAATGGTTTGACGTCTCCCATCAACTAATGCCTCTTTTCACCTAGCAGTAAATAGGTACCCCTGTAGTTAGACACCTATTGTGGGGGCTGCAGTCAGAAGTATACCTGCTGGTTGAGGGTCTACATGTATGTGAATATATACTGAGAAACATGGTATACTTCTAGATGTAAACAAGAGAAGTATACCTGCCTGGTTGAGGGCTCACATGTATGTGAATATATACTGAGAAACATGGTATACTTCTAGATGTAAACAAGAGAAGTATACCTGCCTGGTTGAGGGCCCGGCACGACGACTCTCCAGCAGCATTTCCCAACCTGTGCTGGTGGCCTTGTCATCAACAAGGAGGTCATCAGGTGAAGTAATCAGAGCGTTACCAGTTGCTCTCTGAGACACGGGGGGATTTTGGAATTTAATTCTGGTGCCTTACTCTTGTGGGTATGGTTCACTATACTTATACTGCCCTACTTGATTTGTGGAACCAATTGCCGCGTAACATTGTGGAGGTGGGGTCCCTCGATTGTTTCAAGCACGGGTTGGACAAGTATATGAGTGGGATTGGGTGGTTATAGAATAGGAGCTGCCTCGTATGGGCCAATAGGCCTTCTGCAGTTACCTTTGTTCTTATGTTCTTATGTTCTTACTGTTGTGGGTATGGTTCACTATACTTATAGTGCCCTACTGTTGTGGGTATGGTTCACTATACTTATAGTGCCCTACTCTTGTGGGTATGGTTCACTATACTTATAGTGCCCTACTGTTGTGGGTATGGTTCACTATACTTATAGTGCCCTACTCTTGTGGGTATGGTTCACTATACTTATAGTGCCCTACTGTTGTGGGTATGGTTCACTATACTTATAGTGCCCTACTCTTGTGGGTATGGTTCACTATACTTATAGTGCCCTACTATTGTGGGTATGGTTCACTATACTTATAGTGCCCTACTGTTGTGGGTATGGTTCACTATACTTATAGTGCCCTACTCTTGTGGGTATGGTTCACTATACTTATAGTGCCCTACTGTTGTGGGTATGGTTCACTATACTTATAGTGCCCTACTCTTGTGGGTATGGTTCACTATACTTATAGTGCCCTACTGTTGTGGATATGGTTCACTATAATTATAGTGTCCTACTGTTGTGGGCATGGTTCACTATAATTATAGCGCCCTATTATTGATATGATTCACTATAATTCTGGTGCCCTACTCTTGTGGGTATGGTTCACTATACTTATACTGCCCTACTGTTGTGGGTATGCTTCACTATACTTATGCTACACTACTGTTGAAGGCTGGTGTGCATGGACAATATGCGAAGTGTGTGTGTGTTCTGCGGGGTGAGAAGCGGGGTCTGGCCCCTCCCAAATGCCAGGAGGCCTTAGTGCGGAGGTTTGTTAATTATTTACGGCTTCGGCTGGTAGCCAGCACCGCGGGTTTATAATCATATGGGGTGAAATAACATCTTTTGTTTATCTTATCGGCTTCCAACACCACCACACAGCCGTACGCCAGGCCTTGGAAACCTCTACATTGTGGCTGGTTGAGCTTGAATCCGTTGTTCCTTGTGTGTTACAACCGACCTGTTGGAGAAGTGGTCTAGATCAATATCCCTCATATTGTTCAATATTTGTAAAAGTGTCGGATTCTATATATGTTTAAGACGTGTTCACATTAGAGATCTATACAACTTTGAATATAAAACACTGACGAATTATAAGATCCAGCTTGCAAAAATCATCAGGACAAACTTTTGACAAGCCGCCAGCTTCTTGTCTTGGTCGAGGCCACTAGAGTGTTGGTGGCTCTCAGGTAAATCAGGTACAGCTTCACCCAAATACCAGAACATTCTTTTCTAAGTTGTTGGTGGAACAACCGATGACGGAATAAATATTGTTTATCTGTTAGTGTTGTAAACGTTTTACGAAGTAAATTACCGTTTCGTTTACATTTATCATACGGCAGTTTGTGTTGAACATTTGATAATCTTTAAATGGCGACGAATTACAGGTATATTATGATTGGAAATTTGCCATATGTTTACTCTTTCTCTCTCTCTCTCTCTTTTTCTTTCTCTCTCTCTCTCTCTCTCTCTCTCTCTCTCTCTCTCTCTCTCTCTCTCTTTCTTTCTCTCTCTCTCTCTCTCTCTCTCTCTCTCTCTCTCTCTCTCTCTCTCTCTCTCTCTCTCTCTCTCTCTCTCTCTCTCTCTCTCTCTCTCTCTCCCTCTCTCTCTCTCGTAATATACATAATATTATGGACTGAATGTTGGGGTGAAATTAAGTCTTGAAACCATTATTCATATAAAGAATATCAATTATTGTTACAAATGTAAATGTTTACAAACCACTTTGAACTTGAAAAACTCTGCATGTTGTTGTTGTTGTTGATTGAAGTGTGTGGCCAATGGCAGGATCGTTGTGTGTGACGTCACGTCGTTTGTCTCGACAATTCGTAAATTATCATACATTACAGCGTTTTACATAAAAGGTCAATTAACTCATAAGCGCAAAAGTAGAGTCATCTTCCCTTTTTACTCGTCTGCATATATTAATACTAATTTTTATTCACTGCAAATGTTTATTTTATTCACAATTCTCTTTACTATTTTTCTTTAGATAGTGTGAATTATATAAACCGGTATTGTGGTGTTTTGACCAATAAGACTCGTCGTTACAAAGCACTAATTCATTCATAATCTTACCCAATACGACGACAACAATAAAAACAGCGTTGCCATATTACAACCATTACTATAAGTACTATCATTTCAGGAGGATGACGCTGGAAATCTCACTATCATTCACCAAGAGCGAGAGATGCCGCTCCTGAATGTCGCTCCCGCCATAAAAGTCGATGGTTGGTGTAAGGGCCGCAGGGGTACCAACCTATGCCCTCCCGACATTTGGATATGGCCATTAAAAGAATATCTGACATTACTTTACAAGCGTCCGGGCGTGCGTTTGACATTATATCTGACCCACTTGCAGCTCTCACATATTTATCGCGCTCACACCAAAAATGAATCGCAGTGTTGCGCCAAGGAGGAACTTCGACTACAAATGAATCTGAGTTTCGTTTCATAGGGGTATATCGACCACATTTGAATCGCAATTTTGTTCCATAGATGTACTTCGATCACGTATAAATCGCAGTTACGGTAACGCTTCAAAGAGGTGCTTCAACTTCAAATTAAACAAAGTTCCAATTCAAAGAGGTCGTATTTTTAATCCGTTAAATATGTGTTTTATTATTTTCATCAGCCTCGATAAGCTAGGCGGGTTGCTTGGATCCGCATGTGTCTGGTTAGGCTAACAGTTACATTTTTGGCGGAATGGTGAGAGGATAGGCCGGGCTGCTGAGGGAGTGAGAGGAGAGGCCGGGCTGCTGAGGGAGTGAGTGGAGAGGCCAGGAGGCTGAGGGAGTGAGAGGAGAGGCCGGGCTGCTGAGGGAGTCTCACAGAGGGCGTCGTGACGAGGTTGTTGGAGGCCCGCCAGCAAGGTCAGTGCCGTGGCTACTGTGATGAGGGAGAGCGCCTCAGTAAGGTCAGAGCAGGGCGTCACAGTAGCCATAGAGGCTACTGTGAGGCACTTAAGACTGCACAGAGGCTACTGTGAGGCACTTAAGACTGCATAGAGGCTACTGTGAGGCACTTAAGACTGCATAGAGGCTACTGTGAGGCACTTAAGACTGCATAGAGGCTACTGTGAGGCACTTAAGACTGCATAGAGGCTACTGTGAGGCACTTAAGACTGCATAGAGGCTACTGTGAGGCACTTAAGACTGCATAGAGGCTACTGTGAGGCACTTAAGACTGCATAGAGGCTACTGTGAGGCACTTAAGACTGCATAGAGACTACTGTGAGGCACTTAAGACTGCATAGAGGCACGTAACTGTCCGTTTACGAAACCTGTACGTCTTTCCTCAGTCATTCCGGCTTAAATTGTATTTATTAAACAATTTATGAACTCTTAATCGCTTTGAGGTTGTTCATAATAATAATAATAATAATCTTGGGTTAAGAATAACTGGAGCGCTTCTTCCAACTTCTTAAACTGTTTAATAGGGACTAAGACGCCATAACAGAGCAAAGATGTACTGGTTTCGTTACTGGATACGTAAATACTTGATGAATCCTGGTCCCGAACTTACTAGACAGGGCAGGTTAGGTATCCTGCCCTGAAGTATATGCATTAATATATATATATATATATATATATATATATATATATATATATATATATATATATATATATATATGTCGTACCTAATAGCCAGAACGCACTTCTCAGCCTACTATGCAAGGCCCGATTTGCCTAATAAGCCAAGTTTTCCTGAATTAATATATTTTCTCTAATTTTTTTCTTATGAAATGATAAATCTACCCATTTCATTATGTATGAGGTCAATTTTTTTTTATTGGAGTTAAAATTGACTTAGATATATGACCGAACCTAACCAACCCTACCTAACCTAACCTAACCTATCTTTATAGGTTAGGTTAGGTTAGGTAGCCGAAAAAGTTAGGTTAGGTTAGGTTAGGTAGTCGAAAAACAATTAATTCATGAAAACTTGGCTTAATAGGCAAATCGGGCCTTGCATAGTAGGCTGAGAAGTGAGTTCTGGCTACTAGGTACGACATATATATATATATATATATATATATATATATATATATATATATATATATATATATATATATATATATATATTGAATATACATACGTATGTATAAATAAAACAAAATAGTTGGTCAAGAAACTCTGGGCACGATGTTAAAACAAAAATGAAAGTGTCTTTAAAAACCTCTCAGAAACTCCTTGAAGCAGCGACCATAAAAGTTTTGAAACAAACCACAACTGACTGGAAAAAAGCTGCCCCGAAGTGCCCTTCCTTCAGGTATAAAGGAGTGGTTACTATGGCTCTGCCCTCACTCTCGAGTGGAACTTCGTCATGAACGCCAGAGTAAGAGTTTTTTTTAAGTATTGCAACCTATATTCAGGCTATTCATTCCATCCAGCGGCCGACCCCAAAGACGCATTCATCACTTTTAACATGCTGTTTATTCAAAGTAGGAATTTTCTCAAATATAAATTAATATTATTTTATATTTAGTATATTGTGCCTATTTAGGTATTGGTTAGGTGTTTAGATTGACGATTATTTGTATTTGTAGTACGTGAGTGAAGCCTTTACAGCCTTGTGGTTCGAACAAAAGTCGTCAGTGAAGCACTTGTTCCGAAAGTGTTCGGATGTTATCAGTTGTGAGTCGTGTGTAAACCGTTTTCATTCACAAACAGGGGGTTTGGCAAGTGCTTGGAATAGACCTTGGCCTTTGTTCATGAGGACGGGCTGTACATTTCGAGCGAACTGAAGCAAACATTTCGAGCGAATTGAAGCATAAGTTTCGAGTAGACTGAAGCATTAATTTCGAACGAACTAAAGACACAAATGAACTATATTCAGTCTTCACGTTCTTCACGCTCAAAAGCAACCCAGAAACTTTTATAGCACATTTTTGTACTACATAAGGCCTAAGATAGCGTGTATTAGACCCATGATTGCTAGAAGAGGTTAGGTTGGGTCTTATATTTATGTTGCAGTTAAAAGTAGTTTCCGGTTTGCCCAAATTCAATAATACAGAAGTCAACTTTCTGGCGGTCCACCACTACATATTGGTACTTTCGACCAAATAGTTACTATAAGCATTCTCATTTTAGGAGGATGGGCTGAGGGAATTGTACTCATGACATCCCCAGAAATGACTAAGTGGGTGTCTTAGAATCAAAATATTTCTTAAGAATTGTTCCAGATTCCTTAACATTTATTTGAAATATATTCGTGCATTCTGATATATTTGTACATGGATTGTGGTAAACAATTTGTTGCAGTTTGGTTAACTTTCTGTTCATGTTTTCAGATACTCTTCATGCTGGCTCTGGCGACTTCGGTTGCCACAGACAAGCGTCCGGATCCTTCTTTATCCTACGGCCCTCCACAGGTACGTACTGGGATAACTGTCCTCAGAATCCTTCTCCTCCTACCAATCCTACTGACCTATCCAGGTATGTTCTAAGACGACTGTCGTCAGAATCCATCCTAGGTCTTCCAATAAAACACAGTTTTAAAAGTTTCTCACTAATTCTGTTAAATATCTGATAACAAATTGTTCCATCTCTCTGTAAATATAATAATATATCTATTAACATTATGCGACAGGTAGGAGCTGTCGATACATCTGAAGAGAAATTCAGGTCCCCCAAGTATGGCTTCGACTGGACCGTCCAAGATGGCTACACAAACAACGACTTCGCTCACCAGGAAAATCGCGAAAACGACGACACCAGAGGGTCGTACAGCGTGCAGCTTCCCGACGGTCGTCGTCAGGTCGTGACCTACTACGTGGACGGTGACTCGGGTTACGTGGCCGAAGTCACTTACGAGGGCGAGGCTCGATACCCGGACTCTGATGAAGTCAGGTCCTACGTACCTCCCAGACCTCGCTACGGAGTCCCTGAATCAGCTGAGTCAGTGGAGGGTCCTGTATACACTTCTCCTAGTCCCATTATACCCTTATATAAGCCTCCAAGACCCGTTATACCCAAATATACCCCTCCAACACCCCGATATTCTGAATCTCAAAAGGAAGAATCAGATGAAGATATACCCGTATATACCCCTCCAAGACCCCGTTATTCTGCACCTCAAAAGGAAGACTCAGAAGAGGATATACCCGAATATACTCCTCCAAGACCCCGTTATTCTGCACCTCAAAAGGTAGAATCAGATGAAGATATACCTGTATATACTCCTCCAAGACCCCGTTATTCTGCACCTCAAAAGGTAGAATCAGATGAAGATATACCCGTATATACTCCTCCAAGACCCCGTTATTCTGCACCTCAAAAGGAAGAATCAGATGAAGATATACCCGTATATACTCCTCCAAGACCCCGTTATTCTGCACCTCAAAAGGTAGAATCAGATGAAGATATACCCGTATATACTCCTCCAAGACCCCGTTATTCTGCACCTCAAAAGGAAGACTCAGAAGAGGATATACCCGTATATACCCCTCCAAGACCTCGTTATTCTGCACCTCAAAAGGAAGAATCAAATGAAGATATATCTGTATATATCCCTCCAAGGCGCACATACGGACCCCCTCAGTGATATACATAGACCCAAGTCATCTCATCTTGAAGTTCCTTATTGAACATAAAAACAGTTGAACAAGAGAACACAAGAACATCCTAATCATACTCAATATTCAGTATATATACATCCCTGATGTGTCTTCTCCAGTTTTATTTTAGTTTACTTATTTGAAGAACAATGTTATAGTTTCTCCTCTGCTTTGTTCTTCTCAGTCTCTTGTGCTTCATTCTTCATATTCTCATGTGTCTTGTTTTTCACATTCAGTTGATGTAATGAAAGTGTTCTGTATATATTTTGAGAGAACAGAAATTATTTATTAAATATATCGCATTATAATTTTTTTTATTTATTCAATTACTGTACAGACATCTCAATGGAACAATGTTTTTTTTTTTGTAAATTCATATACTCCTTGAGACAAAATATCGTAAACATTAACTGTTTAGAACACACTTATCCACAAGCTACTTCTTGAGGTTATCTTGAGATGATTTCGGGGCTTTAGTGTCCCCGCGGCCCGGTCCTCGACCAGGCCTCCACCCCCAGGAAGCAGCCCGTGACAGCTGACTAACATCCAGGTACCTATTTACTGCTAGGTAACAGGGGCATAGGGTGAAAGAAACTCTGCCCATTGTTTCTCGCCGGTGCCTGGGATCGAACCCAGGACCACAGGATCACAAATCCAGCGTGCTGTCCGCTCGGCCGACCGGCTCACTTGGAATGCACTTATCCACTAGCTACTTGGAATGCACTTATCCACTAGCTACTTGGAAAACACACACACACACACACACACACACACACACACACACACACACACACACACACACACACACACACACACACACACACACACACTGTGTGTGGATCATCAAACAAGCAGTTAAAGAAAGAAAATATACTTAAATTCCCTCACCAAACGGCACAAGGCCGTCCATTCCCACAGTAAGGTCACGAACACCCATGGTGAGAGAGATCGAGAGAGAGAGAGATCGAGATCGAGAGAGAGAGAGAGAGAGAGAGAGAGAGAGAGAGAGAGAGAGAGAGAGAGAGAGAGAGAGAGAGAGAGAGAGAGAGAGAGAGAGAGAGAGAGAGAGAAGAATAGAGAAGGGACACAGTATTCTTGCTTGTTGGGCAGTAAGCAATTTCGGGGGCCACAACCCTCCTCTAGATGTCATAAGCCCAAAACCAACCAATGTTCTTCAAATGAATAGGTCTCGAGATTGAAAATAAACGAATTGTATTATGTATTATTCTAGGTACAATATAATTATGTATTAAAACAAGGATTAAAGCTCAGGCTATGAAAACAAAATAGAACAGAAAGTAAAAATACATTGTTGGGGAAACATCCCCCAGTACTGGAGACACGACCCCCAGTACATATGGGGGCTTTCTCCAGTACTAGAGAAGTGATACTGGAAAGACTACAATAGTACTGGAGGGGCTTCCTCCAGCACTGAAAGGGTTCAACTGGAAAAGACCTTTTCCCCAATCTTGGAAATGTTTAGATGGAGAAGACCTTTCCCCAATAATAAAGAATGAAGCTGTCCAGCTAATAACACATTAAGGTTAGACGCACTTAGAAGACCAGCGAATAAACATGACATGGTCCAGTAACGTGGAATCAACGCTGAATGAACGTCGATTGCCCAACATGTACCCACTGGGTATACAGTACCTAGCAGCTTGCTCAATTACACCCGGTTAGCTTGCTACCCAGCAAAGCCCTAACTGGACCAACGGACACTGCGTGAAAGGGTTTCATAAACCCACAAAATAAACATAGCCGCAAGTAGAGAACGAAGGTGTGTGCTGGAACTCAGTAATATACCCAACTGGACTGGATGGTCAGTGGCTGTAGTGGACCTGCAAATTATTTATGTTGCGTCAGAAAGACATCAGTTCGAAACTGAAAGAGAAAGTTCGAAGATTGCAACATTTGTTGCTTTTGAATGTGTTTATGAGGGCTGTGATTACAATTACGTGTTCAATGGTAAAAATTATGGGTTTAATGGTGAAAATTTGGAAGCCAAGTGTTAAAATTAGGTTAGGGGTTAAAAATTAGGTCAATGGTGAAAATTATGAGGTTATTGGTGAAAGTTAGGAGATAGATATATGGTGAAAATTAAGAAGTAAATGGTGAAAATTAGGCCAGTGATAAAAATTAGGTCAATGGTGATAGGCATGGTAAAAAATTAGGTCAAAGTTGAAAATTAAGTATTTGTGGGACTCTAAATAATACTTTTACTTATTGAACCACTTGCACTTATACCTGAGACCTCTCAAGCACTTATAATTTTGGGACGCTCAAATACTTATACATGAGGGACCCCCCTCAAATATATTTATATTTGTTAATACAGCGATCGCTCACTGTCAATGGGGCTTCTTCCTCTCCCAAAATCGCTTGATTTTCTATACCTGACTTCTAGTATATATATTAGCTTTTGTGTGGCTGAATGACCCCCTCATCCTCATTTTTGAGTTCAGTAATGTCGTGATTTTTAGGCATGATATACACTAAATATAGTTTAACTCTGTTTCTTATCAAATGCCAGGAATTATTTGGCCAGGCAAGCTTGTAATGCTTGCAATCCCCAAATATTAACAGTGTGTTTCTATGTATACATCTAGTTCTGTCGGAAGGATTGAGCTTAACCTCTTGGATCACAATACCTTCTACTACCTCCTTGTTAAGCTTAACTATACGTTAAGTTTAACTATAACAAGTTATTGTTGATTAAACATTTATGACAAAAATAGCTGATTGAAGTAATAAGGATTAATTTGTTCCCCAATTTAAAGGATTTTAAAATCCAGATTTCACAATTTTGCTGGCGTATTTCGTTGTTTATAAAATGCGTTGATTTTAAGCATTAAATTGTTTATGAATTAAATATTTCAAACAAAACAATATATATATGGAGTATTACTCTGCAAATGTAAGGCATATAATTACCCTATATAACAATATAAAACTTGCCAATCATCCTATATACAAGACTTAAAATAGTATGTAGAGCATTTAGGAAATATCGAGGAACCTTATAGAAGAGTGACCTTGAAGTAATGTGGACTGACGGAGGTGTGGTCTTTATAACCTTTGTCAAAACAACGAAGGTCGGTGGAGAAACCTGTCCTGCTGGGCAGCGCTGGACCAGTGCTGTATATATAGGGCGAGCAGCCAGGAGCTGGACATCAGTTGTGATCATTACTGCATCATGAACACTAAGGTAGGCAGCTTAATGCGTTAGTGCCTATATACTAAGAAGCAATATATCTCGCGTCTTAGTGTGTAGACTGAGCAGCAAGGTATACCACGCTTCTCAGTCTACATACTTTGAGAGTTTACTTTTGTCCAGCCACTTGGGCTGGATGATAGAGCGGCGGTCTCCCTTCATGCAGGTCGGCGTTCAATCCCCGACCGTCCTAGTAGTTGGGCACCATTCCTTTCCCTCATCCCATGTTAAATCCTTATCCTGACCCCTTCCAAGTGCTATATAGTCTTAGTGGTTAACGCTGTCCCCTGATAATGCCCTTCCTCATTGAACCTTGTATAAAACATACGTATATTAGATGGTTACTCAGTAAGTTATTGTGGTGACCTAAATAATCACTCAAATGTTTGATAGGTCTTAATAACTCTTAAAAGGTTTATAATGCCTTAATGGCCCTCCAGACGTTGATAGGCCAAAAACCCAACAACAACAAGATAAAATAGCTGTCATTATATAACAGATACGTTACAAAAGCTGCCGCCTCAAATTTCACGGAAACAAGTTTTGCAGGAAACTCACGCGAAAGCATTTTTACATTAAAATAAGCATCGTATTTTAGACAAAAAATTTAACGTTGATGATTTGCTTTCCAGGTACTCTTCCTGCTGGGTCTGGTGGCTGTGGTCGCCGCAGACAAGCGTCCAGCCCCCTCCTTGGCCTACGGTGCTCCCCAGGTAAGCAAAGAAACCCGATTTCAATAAATATAGAATATAGATGTAAATTTTGATATACAATTTTGAGGGGGGAATGTTTTTTGTTTACGAATGATTTAAATAAAGAATTTTACGTGGTATATTTGTATTGTGTTCGAGTCATCAATTTTGTATATTTATGTATCATTTCGGTTCACTTGAAGGCACGCCAATCATCCGAGGAGTTTGAGTCTCCTAAGTATGGCTTCGACTGGGCTGTTCAAGACGGTGAATCCGGCAACGACTTCGCCCAGCAAGAGACCCGCGACGACGACAACACCAAGGGGTCGTACACCGTGCAGCTTCCCGATGGTCGTCGCCAGACCGTGACTTACTACGTCGACGGTGACTCTGGTTACGTTGCTGACGTCCAGTACCAGGGTGAGGCTCGCTACCCCGACTCCGATGAAGTCGGAGCCTACGCTCCACCACAGCCCAGCGCCCGCTACGGAGCTCCATAAGGCAGTGGAGTTGGACACAGTAGATGGTCTCATGACTTCATCTCCAGCCCATGTACATTACACATCTTCTAAATCCCACCTAACACACGACGTAGCCACTACGTTATGTCAAAGTTATTACGTTGTTACAACGTTTTAGCAACGTAAAATGAAGTTATGGTAACGGCATGTGTTTGTGTTGGTAAACATTACTGCCTGGATCGAGGTCGACCAACGACATGAGGCGATTCCATCACTTTCCGAATCACTGGAGCCGTCCATATAGCTGATTGACTGTCTTTCCTTCCCCCATGATCCTATACTTCCCTTGATCTTATAATTCCCTGATCTTATACTTCTCCTGACTTTATATTTCTGATATAATACTTCCCCAGATCTCTTCTTTCCCTGATCTTATATTTCCCTTGATGCTTCATTGTTATCAAGAATACTTCAGTGTTGTAAATAATTTATAACATAAATTATTGAATAAATGATATGCAACTTACACAGAATATATAATTTATATACCAACGTATTCAATATATAAATGAAATACTGTAATTGTGAACCAATAATACTTCCTACACCTGATCTATAAACTATTCTGAAGAAACATGGTGGATAGCGCGCAGAACTCGTAATTCTGTGGCGCGGTTTCGATTCCCGCACCAGGCAGAAACAAATGGGCAAAGTTTCTTTCACCCTGAATGTCCCTGTTACCTAGCAGTAAATAGGTACCTAGGAGTTAGTCAGCTGTCACGGACTGCTTCCTGGTGTGTGTATGTGTGTGGTGTGGAGGAGGGAAAAAAATGTTATTACACAGTTGATTGATAGTTGAGAGGCGGGCCGAAAGAGCAAAGCTCAACCCCCCGCAAACACAACTAGGTGAATACAGTGAGAGTATACTTTAGTCTTTGATTATATTCCTGAAAATTGTCACCATAATACACCAGTCAAATGGAAAACAACGAAGCATACCGAATGACTGAACTGAAAATAAAGTCTTCAAATTTGTATAACAATTTTAATTTATATTTCTACCGTTGTTAATATTGTATTACTACTGTTGACATTACTAGGCCTACAACTCTTGCTACTTCTTCTAGACAGTGTCAATAAAATATATTACCACTCAAATTGCAAACAAAATATTTTTTTAAATTCACGTCAAAGTATAAAAGTTTGATTTACACTGCTGTACACCTGTTGAGTCCAGCTAGAGCTGTAGCAATTTGAATAATTTGCTATGAATGAACGCCCTTTAATTCTAATTCAAACATACAACAATTACCTAGCTCTAAGGTATCTGTTTACTGCAAGGTGAATTGAGGCATAAGATGACGATTCCTAACGATGCTATCTACAGCAGTTGTATAGCTCAATATTAATAATTTCCTGTTAGGTGAACAGAGACATCAGGTGACCATTCTTCAGGGTGCAACCCACACTACTCGCCATCTCCCAGGTACTTATTTAATCCAAGGTGAACAGATGCCTCAGATATAAAGAAACGTGCCCAAATGTCTCGTCCAGCCCGGGAGTCGAACCAGCACCATTTCAGCTGTGAGCCGACTGCGCAGACCACTCTGCTGCTGGTCACCTCAATACTTCCTCTATTTCTTAAATAAAATTATTATTGCCTGTAATGGCCATTCAGAGCGAGAGAGAGAGAGAGAGAGAGAGAGAGAGAGAGAGAGAGAGAGAGAGAGAGAGAGAGAGAGAGAGAGAGAGAGAGAGAGAGAGAGAGAGAGAGAGAGGGGGGGGGGGGGGGGCAGAGGTAGAAAGATACAGAGGAAGACACAGCATTTTTGCTGGTTGATCAGTAAGCAATTGCGGTAGCCTGAACCCTTCACTAGAGGTCATAAGCCCAAAACCAACCAATGTTCTTCAAATGAATCTGTGTCGAGATTCAAAATAAACGAATTGTATTATGTATGAATCGAAGTACAATAAAATTAAGTATTAAAAACAAGAATTAAAGCTCATGTTTTGAATACAAAATAAAAACAGAAAGGAAACGATACATTGTTATTGAAACATTCTCCAGTACTAGAGAAGTGATACTGTTAAGACGACACCCAATACTTGAGGGGCTTTCTACAGTACTGGAGAAGTGATATTGGAGAGACTACCCCCAGTACTGGAGGGACTTCCTCCAGTACTGGACGGGTTCAACTGAAAAGACCTTTTCACCAATACTGGAAGGTTCAGATAGAGAAGGCCTTTCCCCAGTAATGAAGAGTGTCGATGTTCAGCTAATTACACATTGAGTGTAGTCAACGCACTAAGAAGACCCGAGAGTAGACAAGACATGCTCCAGTAACGTGGAATCAACGTTTTTCGAAGCTGATTCAACGTTGAATCAACGTCGTTTGCCCAACATGTGCCCACTGGTTACATAGCAGCTTGCTCAATTACACCGGGTTAACTTGCTGCCTAGCAAAACCATAACTGGACCCACGGACACCTTTTGTGGGTTTCATAAACCAACCAACAAAAAACAGCCGCAAGTAGAGTGTGTGCTGGAACTCAGTAATAAACCCAACTGGACTGGATGGTCAGTGGCTGTAGTGGACCTGCAAATTATTTATGTTGCGTCAGAAAGACATCAGCCCGAAACTGAAAGAGAAAGTTTGAAGATTGCAACATTTGTTGCTTTTGAATGTATTTACGAGGGAAAATGATTAAAATTACGGCGGTCAGTGGGTAAAATTTGGCGTTCAGTTGTGAAAATTATGGGGTTAATGGTGAAAATTTTGAAATTATGAGGTTAATGGTGAAAAAATTATTATTTTTTAAAATCAGATCAGGAGATAAAAATTAGGTCAATGATAAAAATTATGAGGTCATTTGGGAACGTTAGGAGACAGGTAAATGGTGAAAATTAAGAAATAGTGGAAATAGGTCAGTGATAAAAATTAAGAGGTCAATGCTGAAAATTATGTAGCCGTGGAACTCCCAGTAATACTTTTACTTATGGAACCTCACCACTGGTGGGACCTCACGTGCACTTATACTCTTGGGACCTCTCAAATACTTGCGGGACCCACATTAAATAGTTATATTTGCTAATAAAGCGATCGCTCACTGTTTTTGGAGCTTCTTGCCTCCCAAAGACGGTTTGATTTTTCTATACCTGACTTCGAGTATATATTAGCCTTTGTGTGGCTGAATGAGACCTTTATCCTCATTTTTGTGAGTTCAGTAATGTCGTGATTATTAGGCGTGTTGTTTACTACATATAGTAGTTGAACTCTGTTTCTCATCTAATGCCAGGAATTATTTGGCCAGGCAAGCTTGTCATGCTTGCAGTCCCCTAATTTTAATAGTGTGTTTGGTATATTTCTGTTACACAACTAGTTCTGTCGGAAGGATTGAGCTTAACTTCTTGAATCACATTGCCTTCTACTACCTCCTCGTTAAGCGTAACTGCACCTTAAGCTTAACTATGACAAGATTTTGTTGATTAAACACTTATGACAAAAATTGCTAATTGAGGTAATTAAGATTAATTTGTTTTCCGATTTATATAATGTTAAAATGCAGATCTCACAATTTTGCTTACTTATTTCGTTGTTTGTAAAATGCGTTGATTTTAAGCATTAAATTGTTCACGAATTAAATATATAATTCAAAACAATATATATATATATATATATATATATATATATATATATATATATATATATATATATATATATATATATATATATATATATATATATATGTATGTATATATATATATATATATATATATATATATATATATATATATATATATATATATATATGTCGTACCTAGTAGCCAGAATGCACTTCTTTGCCTACTATGCAAGGCCCGATTTGCCTAATAAGCCAAGATTTACTGAATTAATATATTTTCTCTAATTTTTTTTCTTATGAAATGATAAAACTACCCATTTCATTATGTATGAGGTCAATTTTTTTTTATTGGAGTTAAAATTAACATAGATATATGACCGAACCTAACCAACCCTACCTAACCAAACCTAACCTATCTTCATAGGTTAGGTTAGGTTAGGTAGCCAAAAATGTTAGGTTAGGTTAGGTTAGGTAGGTTAGGTAGTCGAAAAAGCATTAGTTCATGAAAACTTGGCTTATTAGGCAAATCGGGCCTTGCATAGTAGGCTGAGAAGTGCGTTCTGGCTACTAGGTACGACATATATATATATATATATATATATATATATATATATATATATATATATATATATATATACTTACAACAATCCTATATACCAGACTTCCAATAGTATGTAGAACATTTAAAAGACATTTAAAAGATGTTGAGGAACAATTTGGAATACCAACCTTGAAGTAATGTGTTGGACTGAGGAAGGTGTGGTCTTCATAACCTTTGTCAAAACAACGAAGGTCAGTGGAGAAACCTGTCCTGCTGGGCAGCGCTGGACCAGTGCTGTATATATAGGGCGAGCAGCCAGGAGCTGGACATCAGTTGTGATCATTACTGCATCATGAACACTAAGGTAGGCAGCTTAGTGCGTTAGTGCCTATATACTAAGAAGCGATATACCTCGGGTCTTAGTGTGTAGACTGAGCAGCGAGGTATACCACGCTTCTCAGTCTATATACTTTGAGAGTTTACTTTGTCCAGCCACTTGGGCTGGATGATAGAGCGGCGGTCTCCCTTCATGCTGGTCGGCGTTCAATCCCCGACCGTCCTAGTAGTTGGGCACCATTCCTTTCCCTCATCCCATGTTAAATCCTTATCCTGACCCCTTCCAAGTGCTATATTGTCTTAATGGTTAACGCTATCCCCTGATAATGCCCTTTCTTATTGAACCTTGTCCAAAACATACGTATACTAGATGGTTACTCAGCAAGTTATTGTGGTGGCCTAAATAATCATTCAAATGTTTGATAGGTTTTAATAACTCTTAAAAGGTTTATAGGCCTTAATGGCCCTGCAGAAGTTGGTAGGCCTTAAACCCAACACCAACAAGATACAACAGCTGTCATTATAACAGATACGTTACAAAAGCTGTCGCCTCATGGTAACAAGTTTAGCAGGAAACTCATGCGAAAGCATTTTTACATTAAAATAAGCATCGTATTTTAGACAAAAAATTTAACGTTGATGATTTGCTTTCCAGGTACTCTTCCTGCTGGGTCTGGTGGCTGTCGTCGCCGCAGACAAGCGTCCAGCCCCTTCCTTGGCCTACGGTGCTCCCCAGGTAAGCAAAGAAATCCGATTTCAATAAATATAGAATATAGATGTAAATTTTGATATACAATTTTAAGGGTGAATATTTTTTGTTTACGAATGATTTAAATAAAGAATTTTACGTGGTATATTTGTATTGTGTTCGATGCAACAATTTTGTATATTTATGTATTATTTCGGTTCACTTGAAGGCACGTCAATCATCCGAGGAGTTTGAGTCTCCTAAGTATGGCTTCGACTGGGCTGTTCAAGACGGTGAATCCGGCAACGACTTCGCCCAGCAAGAGACCCGCGACGAC